TAATTTGGGTGTCATTCCAGAAATTTAATTTGTAAGCTTTCCCTTTCATTTCATTAACACATTTACTAATTCCAATCTTTGCTGTTGTTTCCCACTAAGGAACTTAATGAAGGGATACATTTCATCTTAAAGAGAGGTATTTGGTCACCCTGCCTGCAACAAGCAGGGAGAGGCAGTGAGCATACATGTGTTAGATTAGCAGAAATATGGTTTATGGATAGAAAATGCACTTTAATGTAGCTTCCTGCTGCAAGCATGGTTTTACTCCAGCCTCTCTAAGTGGGTGTGTGATTTACCAAGAGCAAGGATATAAAGTGCTAATTGAGAATTATTTCTTTGTTCCATAAAGAAGTGAATAGCTTTCAGTGGTTTGATGCTTAAAATTGACCATGCAGTTACAATCTGATTTGCAAGAGGGAAGTTAGGAAAATTAATGAAGAAAAGGTAGCTCACAACTTATAACCTCTTGTTTAATATCTGTTAGATGGCTTTTTATAGTGAAGGATGCAGCATATAACCCCAGCCCAATTCATGCTTACTTAATCTGTATGAGAGGTGAAATCATAGAGGTGCCAGTCAGGCTGTTGGTGCATCTGTGACAGGGATGCTGTGCCCCAAGTGCTCCCTGTGGTGGCTTATTCCTGCAGGAGCACTCCAGAAACATCTCAATGCAGGAGCCCCCAGCAGCTGTAATAATAAAAGGGCAAATTCTCTACACAGGGTGAAGGCAGCTGAGGGGATGGATTAGTGTGGCTGCACTGGGGGCAGCCTTCTCTCTGCTCCCCTCTTTGGTGTGCCCTGATGCCTTCGTTGCTGCTGAACATGGTCCTAGCCTTGGCATTGCAGTAGAGTGACAGGTTTGCTTTGGGTGTGTATTTGCAAAGCTGGTATGTCTAAAGCTCCTCTCCCTCAGGTGCTCAGATTCTGGCTATGCCACTGACAAAGTCTGTGCTGAAGCCTTTTAAACTGACTATTCTTCACAGTTTTTTAAGATGAGGAAACAAGTTGAATTTATAGATTCTTTCTTAGCTGCCTCACTTCTTGCTTGGTTTTGTTTAACTTCAGTTACTCTGGAACTGTTGAACCAGCTCAGCACGATTCCTGTGGACTTTTTGAAGGTTGAAGTTTATTTTAGAAACCTTGGTGGTAAGCAATAGGCTTGAGAAGCTTTTAATTATTTGAAATGGAATTACAGTGTCGCCTCCTGAGCCAAGACTTTGTGTCCCAGTGAGGAGGAAAAGAGCCAAGAAGTGTGAATGCCTTAAAAGGAGAGGAAGCGTGTCATAACGTTATCTCCAGATCACACTGAGAAGAACATGTTCTTCGTTTCAAGCCTGGTGTCTTGAGGCAGCTCAGAATAGCAGCAGTGCCATAACTGCAGTGGAGCAGACTGAGCAACGAGCTTGTTGGTCAGCTCAGGGTGCTGCCCTCGCACTTGTGGAGCGGCAGAGGAGCAGGGCTCCTCATCCTTGAGCCTCCCTGTTCAGCTGTACCATGCTGTGTGCATCTACTGCTGCAGACAGCAGTGTGGTTGATGAGTCCTTGGGTGAATCTGGAACTTAGCTTAATTCACTTAATGCAAAGTGGTGCCTTAAATCCAGTTAAAGAGGAGTAGCTTTTTTTGGCATCACCTTTCCAAAGGAACCTGTTCCTCATCTTAAACTGTGATGTACTAGGGTTGTTTCAGGCTTACACCTTTACCTTCAGCATAGAATCATAGAATCCTAGGGGTTGGAAGGGACCTCGAAAGATCATCTAGTCCAGCCCCCCCTGCCAGAGCAGGGTCACCTAGGGTACATCACACAGGAACGCATCCAGGTGGGTTTTGAATGTCTCCAGTGAAGGAGACTCCACAACCTCCCTGGGCAGTCTGTTCCAGGGCTCTGTCACTCTCACAGTAAAAATTTTTTTTGGATATTCACCTTGAACCTCCTATGCTCCAATTTACACCCATTACCCCTTGTCCTATCACTGGTCATCACTGAGAAAAGCCTAACTCCATCTCCCTGACACTCACCCCTTACATATTTGTAAACATTGATGAGGTCACCCCTCAGTCTCCTTTTCTCCAAGCTAAAGAGACCCAGCTCCCTCAGCCTTTCCTCATAAGGGAGATGTTCTACTCCCTTCATCATCTTTGTAGCAGCATAAGGACATTCTTCCTTATGTGGATCATATGGTGGGGAATAAGTGTCTGATCCTGGTGAAGGTTTTTTGGGTTTGGATTAAACACCAAATGAGTGATACAATTAAATGGGTGGTTTTGCTGCTTCGGAGTAGAAGCTATTTCAACTGTCAAGCCCTCTCAGAAACAGCTTATGCTTTGACCAGTGGCTTGTGTCAGGTTCAGCCTGGAAGAATTTAGAAGAACTGATTTGATCTCTTACAGCCCTGGAGACCCCTCCCATGGAAGGGGGTGGGGCAGGCCTGAGGGATTGCTGTGCCTGGAGCCCTACCCAGGCATCCCCCTGCCCAGGGATCTCTCTGCCCTCACCTCTTCTCCCGAGGGTCAGCACTGGAGCCAGGCTTTCTCCTGAGAAAGCTGCTCAGCAATCATTCTGCTGAAAAAAGTCCAGATTCCTTCTTCTCTAGTTACTAATAAATTTGTCTTCCAGAATCACTTTGTTGCAGTTGCCCAACTTGCCAAATTGTTACTTTGAATTCAGACAGTGGCCCTGATGATCTGGTGCTCATAGTATGTAGAATATGCAGAATATATGGGTAGACTTTGTTGCAGCTTTCCAGTACCTGATGGGGATCCAGGAGACTTAAAGAGGGATTTTTTACAAGAGCAGGTAGTAGTATGACAAGGGGTCATGGCTTTGAACTGGAAGAGGGTAGATTTAAGTTAGACATTAGGAAGAAATTATTTGGTGTGAGGGTGGTGAGACCCTGGCCCAGGTTGCCCAGAGAAGCTGTGGCTGCCCCATCCCTGGCAGTGTTGAAGGGCAGGTTGGATGGGGCTTGGAGCAGCCTGGGCTGGTGGGAGGTGTCCCTGCCCATGCAGGGGGTTGGAACTGGATGGTCTTTAAGGTCCCTTCCAACCTAAACCAGTCAAGATTTCTATGAATATGATTGTCTGCAATGTCTGAAGGGTATTTTTATATTTATATATTTCTTATGGTGCACAGAAATCTGGAAATGAGAGTTGAGGGGGATGGTATTACTTTTTAAACTTTTTTTTTAATTAGGAGGCTTTTAGAAAGTTGTTGGGTCTGTGTCACTGCTGTTTCCTTTCTCTGCTAGCCCACACTGATCTTCCTGTCTCACACAAGGATTTGCACCTTTTCCTCCTTAATAGCAGTGTGTCTGATTTATTCTACAGGGTTTAAATTAAAATGAGATTCAGCAGTAGGAAAAAGGGAAAGAAGAGATGGATTTGAAAGCAATTCTCAGGCTCTGCTGTCCTGGCTCATGAGAAAGCCTGCATGTTTTTTCCTTTATTTCTTTTTCCTTTTTTTTTTTTTTTAACTTTGAGAAATCACAGTTGTTACAGGGCAGCAGAAATAGCCCCTTGCTCTGGACTGCTGGCATTCATGTTTGTCTGTCTCCAGCAGCACTGCTGGTCATGGGGGGCTCCAGGGACCTCGGCATGGATCCCCAGGGGACACTCCACTATGCCAGCCCAGGTGGCTGCTGTTGCTCAGGGCAACATTAGCTCTGATGCTACTCCATAAAATGTAAAGAAAACTGAGAACCTCCTCAGCAGCAGTGGTGTGAAATGGAAATGCTCCTCCCCAGTCACATACACCGCTGGGGAAGTAGATTCCTGTCCTCCAAGGAGCTTCTTCCATCATTGTTTCAGTGATGCCATGGCAGTTCTAATTTCTGTATTGAGTTCTTTGCAACCACAGGTGAGAGCAGGGCACCAAAATGGCACTGGCCTGATCCCTCCGCATCTTGTTTACAAATCAAGTGTGTGCTCTTATAAACATGCCTATGTTAACTGAGAAAAGGAAAATCTCTGAGGTGTAAAAAAATATGAACTAATTAATCTTAGTCATTCGTGAGCCTTTGCTTCTGTAAGTAAGAACAGTTACATAATTGTGCCTTTTAAAGAGAGAGCTTCATTTCTAGTGCAACAGAGGGAAGTGCTTCCAACCTGACCAGTCATCCAGGGGAGACAAACCAGCTGGCAACTGGTGTCAGCCAAGCTCTCATCTTGCTCTTTTCCACAATCTAAAGAGGCTGGAGCTGCTCTTGTAGGGGTCTCCTGTTGTTCATGGCCTGCAGAGAGGAGGAGGTGGGCTCTGTGTGCTCCTGGCAGGGTCACTTCACAGCCTGGGCATTATGGGACATGCTCCTAAATTTCTCTAGGAAAACCAGAGTAGTAGAACATGACATTTCTCACATTTTTAATCTCAAAAGAAATAGTATTGCTGTGCAACCAATATCCTTATAGGAAAAGGCTTTAATCCTTCTTTTGTCAATTTAAAGGAAAATTCAGTAAAATTAGGCAGAAAAGCAAGCAAATAGAAAAACTGTTTAGCTTTTTGAGGTGGTATTGTTTTAATCTGTCCCTAGGGAAAAGAGAAGGGTGGTCAGTCCTGCATGGGTCCTGAGACCTTGTCCTGGGGGTCAGTGCCACCAGAGCAGCCAGGGCCAGGCTGTGGGAGCACCAGGCCTGTGCCAGCCTTTGTGCCTGGGAAGGACACCCTGGCTCTCTTCATCTCTCAGATAATGATCCTCACCAAATCAAGAAGTAAATAGCTGTGTGGTGATCCATCAAGCCACGAGGGTGCTTATGTTGCCTGAAATATTAGTGCTGTCACGTAGTGTAGCACAGACATCTCTTTGTTTGGGCGTGAGGCTTTGTCTGCTTGACACTGGATTTAAGGCAAGTGCCCTAATTCATACACACTGCTCATCTCTTACATAAAAGATTTTATAATTGCTCTTTATACAAGCATGAAACAAATCTAGAATTTTGAATGCCCCAGCAAAGCAGTGCCTTTATTTTTGTCTATTCACTACTAATGATGTCTTATTTTGGATTGTAGGACAGAAAACTCACAAAAGTAGAGAGGCAGAGGTTTAAAGAGGAAGCAGAAATGTTGAAAGGTCTCCAGCATCCAAACATTGTGAGATTTTATGATTTCTGGGAATCCTGTGTAAAAGGCAAAAGATGCATCGTGCTGGTTACTGAATTGATGACCTCTGGAACACTGAAGACGTAAGTACTGTGCTCCTGGTGAGCAGGCTAAGAATAGCCATGGAAATTTTTAGAAAAATCCTACTTTCATAGTCTGAAAAAAGACATCTCCAGATAAAAGAAAAAAAAAATTAAAACGGAGCTGTTCTCTGGTGTCTGACATTTGTCCCTGTGTTTGAACTGCATAGATTTGACAGGAAGAATTTTTGCCTCCAT